TCCAGAAACACCGCCATATTTTATTTTGATTTCCTTGGTTAATATTAGAGAAAAAGAAAAGTTTATTTATAGTCAATGTTTAACCTTTTTATGATCTGTGATCTGGGAGCCATTGACAAAATCGATCTCTCTCTGTCCATGGCATTTAATCAAGTGGTGTCAAGAGATGACATTCTTGAAAGAAAACCACTGTATGATTCTTCGTTCAATTCTCATCAGAATGCTTTGATATTATAACAAATTCCTGTGTGCTACCCAATCCGCATCAATTCTGCTCCTATGTGGGACGATCAGAAGGGGATTCTTGTCAAACATTTCACTTTAATCTGCCAACAGCAAATAATTAACGCTATGTTATTACAGTGTCACTAGGGAGAAAATACAGCGAAAATATCTCCTTTGTTGTGTTCAGTAATAATTGGTAGTTTTATACGTATCATATGTACCTTGAAATAGATAAAATAATTAGATTTCCTTCTACAACTCCTTGTTACTAATATTGAAAAGCTATATTCATGTTTTATTGTGTAAATAAAATAAATTTGATTTTCTGTATGGACTCGTAGGGGTGGTTTTGGCATTTGACATGGTACATTAATTTTGGTAATCGGAGCATGGAAACAAAGGTTGGTGTTTGTCAAGCTGTAAAAGGACCTTAATCAGCCGCGATGTTGCAAATGATAGTCACAGTTTTTTGTGGCGGAAGAAAAAAATAGGAATTTACCTTGTCAGCAAAAGTAACTGTGATGAAAATTAGGACATACCTATTTCAAAATTCCAGCACATTGTACACGGCCACATTTCAGTGTGAGCCTAAGATGTCGTCACCCTGTCCATCAACAATTGGCCTGTGAACGTGATAGGGGCTACATTTTGTAAGCATTGAGAACAAACCCTATCGGCGACTTTCCGTTCCGGAGTTAACCCCCCCCCCCCCATCCCCCTCTCAAGCCTTTGCTAAAAATCTTATCAACGCGATATAGGCTACAGTTTTCTACGGTTTCTTTTAAAATTTTGCGTGAAGCATTGTGGTCATGGGAGGAAGAACCCTATCGATATCCAGCGTTCTACGACTTTCCGTTCCGGAGTAATCCCCCCCCCCCCCCATTTGCTGAAACCCCTGTGAACGCAATAGAGGCTACATTTTTAACAACATTTTTCCAAATTTGGTTGTATGAGATAACGAACCCTATCGATTTTCAGCTTGTAAAAGCGATATGATCTACCGTTTTTTACAGATTGTTATCAAATTTGGTTTGAAGCGTTGGGGTCATGAGAAGACAAAACCTATCGATATTCGTGAGTGGATTTCTTACCAATTTGGTGGCAAGCATTGTGGTCATAAGGTGAAGAACCCTAACGATATTAAGCTGTTACGGAGTCACCCACCCCATGTATCGGACCATGTCATGGATAATGGCCCCTGATTGTACGAAAAATCTCGTTTTTAGCTCGTGGGCACTCTAGAGGTCACAATTTTCATCTGATTTTAATGAAACTTAAAATGTATGTTTATAACCCAAAGATCTTGGTTCCGTTCGATGTTCGCGTAATTCGGATCGTAACTTCCTGAATTTTGGCCCCTGATTATACGAAAATCGCGTTTTTAGCTTGTGGTCCCTCTAGATGTCACAATTTTTATCCGTTTGAATATATATCACCTATTATATCCTAATGATGGTTGAGTTAGAATTTCGTACGCAAATAGTGTAAAAAAAATATGGTATATAAAGGTTGTAGAAAGCAAGCTAATGGCTTAAGCTTTATTTAAACATACATTATTGAAGAGCTAAATCTGTCTATTTTATCTAAATTATTAATTAGACATTAATTAACCTATCCCGACCATGATCAACTCTAAATGGCATCGCTAGCTTGCGATCTTTAGTGGATTGTGAGCCGATTTACTGCATAACTTTCCTTCACGATTTAACGATTAAATGGATAATCGAGACTATGCTGTTTATCGTACTGTCTTTATTAATGATGATCAAGGCTAGGCGGAAATTCAATCGCTTTGTTCTCGGATCATGGTGGATCAATATGAATGAAATTTTCAGCAAATTGCCTTTACATTATCTAGTTTGTATACGCCCACATTTTCATGTGGACGTATTATGCCGTCGCCCCTGTCCGTCCGTCCGTCCGTCCACAATTTGTTTGTGGACACTCTAGAGGTCACAATTTTTATGCGATTTAAAAACCGGTATTATTATATCACCGTTACACCCTAAGGGCGACTGAGTTCGAATTTCGGGAAAATCGGCCCAAAATTCACAGACAAAATGGCCGCCGTTCGTTCTCAAATAGCGTAAGAATATGGTATATCAAGGTTGTGGACCCTATAGAGGTCACAATTTTTATCCGATTTTGTTGAAACTTGAAATGTAAGTTTATAACCCAAAGATCTCGGTTCTTTTCGATATTCGCGCATTTCAGACCGTAACTTCCTGAATTATGGCCCCTGATTGTACGAAAAATCGCGTTTTTAGCTTGTGGTCCCTATAGAGTTCATAATTTTTATCCAATTTAAAAAACTGTATAATTATATCACTGTTACACCCTAAGGACGACTGAGGTCGAATTTCGGGAAAATCGGCCAAAAATTGACAGACAAAATGGCCGCCGTTCGTTCTCAAATAGCGTATATATATTTGTTACACACTATGACAGCTCTATTCTCTGAAACCATAAACTGGACGAAAATGGGCCCAAGAGCACATATTAATGGAATATGAATGCATACAAAGCGATTTATACTCTTCTAATACAAATACCTATGCAGGTTGCGATATGATAAATAGTCATGGACATTTGACATGCTTTGAGAGTATGATCACAGATGGCAGATGAAGAACTTATCGCCCCAACAGAACCACTGAGCTGTACATGCGACACGCAATAGCACCATACACGTGGGAGGGGTTCATTGTCAAATTTGACACTTCAAGGAAGGGTTGATGAAAACTGCCGCGTACTGGTTTATCTATCCATGTTTGCTTTCCTATCGGTTCTTGTATACGATTTACTGTTTAGCGTATCTTTGCTTTAGTGTGTTACGTTTAATTTAATCGGGAGACGTGTTCGTCGACGTCAACGTCAACCGACAACACTGCAAGAATTGGCCGTGGCACTGCAAGAGGAGTGGGTCAGATTGCCCCAAATCGTAATTGGACGGTTGTCTGAGGATTGGTGGAGCAATTACACATTATTAAGACAAAAATCAAAAACGGCCATTTTCACTTTTGACGGTGTATCTCTTTGGAGTGAAATGGGGCCGCCCATATGAACTGTTTATGTTCATGTGTAGACAGTTGGGTTGTTATTAACATACACTGGTTACCTCTAATAAAACAGCAGTGCATTTCCGCAGTTTTGTATTGTTTCTGAATATCCCCTACTTTTTTTTTAGAGAGTATATATATTGATTTTTTAAGAAAACGAATGTAATTTCTAATCAATTATGATCGGTGAAATACATGACCACTCCTGCCTGCTGAAGACATTCTACATATTTTTATACGTCCACATGGAAATGTGGTCTTATATTGCCGTCGCCTCCATTCGTCGGTCCGTCGTCCATAATTTCTTGTGAACACTATACAAACTACATTTATTATTTGATTTTTTAAAAAATTTATATATGTTGTTTACATTGTTGAGACGAAGAATCCTATTTAATTTCAACAATTTCGGTTTATTACTTCTAGGGTTATGGTCCTTGTAGAACCCTGTGAACACTCTAACGACTAAAGTTATCGTCCGATCTGTATTAAATTTGTATGCTTTATTTGAATTAGTAAAACGAAAAATCCGTTTGTTTCACTTATTATCCGATCCGCATGAAATTTATATGCATTATTTAAATTTGTAAAAAAAAAAGAGAGAATCCTATTGAATTTCGGCAATTTCCGTTTATTACTTCTAGAGTTATGGCCCTTGTTTCACATTTTTGAACCTTGTAAACACTCTAACGACTAAGGTTATCATCCGATCTGTATTTAATTCCCTTACTTTATTTAAATTAGTAAAACGAAGAAGACAATTTCCGTTAATCCCTTCTAGAGTTATAGCCTTTGTTTCACTTTCTTGAAGCCGTGTGAAGACTGTAACTACCAAAATTATTGTATCATAAAGTCTGTCATTGAGTCAACTGGCGTGGTTTCGAATCCCCGGTTGTACGTGGCAAGGAGTAGGGTCGCCTGTCCAACCTCGTGGGTTTTCTCCGGGTCCTCCGGTTTCCTCCCACTGCTAAAGACCCCTACGCGCAAGCGAATTATTGAAATAAAATTAAAAACCATATGTTAGTCCCGAAATGACCTAGTTTGTGTCGAGTGGACGTTAAACCCCATTTCTCTCTCTCTCGCTTTCAAGCGCCAATTGTAATGAAGCGACTCGATGAACGAGGCTAAACATATCCCACAGTAAAATAATAACCAGACAGTTAAAACAGAAACGATTGAATGTAAACTAGTTTATAAACCTCTTAGATCTTTTAGACCTTTATACACCCGGCCGAACATTACGTACATCAGATAAATTACTTTTAAAGCCCAAAACTGTTCAACTATAGTCTCTTATAGTCAGCTCTCTTTTAGTTATCAAACAACTGTTTTATGGAATAATCTATCATTTAATTTAAGATGTGGTACATCTCTATATTTTTAAAAAAAAAACAATTTAAAACACATTTATTTAATCAGGCTTTTAACTGTATATAATCGTTAACATGTCCACAATCATGTTGTTTATTTATGACTAGCAGGATACTCGGCTTCGCTCGGGGATCATAACTCCGAAACTGGAAGTGGTAGACTAACTCCACCTGGCCTATGTTACTCCCCGGTCCGAGCTACCCCTATACCCCAAATTTCAGACTCGGGGCAGACCTAGTGTAGCCGCCAACCCCGAACAGACCGGCTTCGCTCGGCGGTCATAACTCCGAAACCTATTTATATTTATATATAAAACTTTTTGTTTTGATTTGATTTTTTTTGCAGATTGACATGAGCCCATTGTATAATCCGTTGCTACAAGATTCTGGCCTGTTTGAGTGTCTAAAATACAAACCAAAACCAACTAATTGTTCAAACAGACAACATAAAAGACAAAGTAACGTAAGTTCATTTTTTTTTTGGAACTGATAGCCTTTTAATTATCGTCAATCATGCTGTCTATAATAAATACCGGAACCATTTTTAATACGTCACACCGCCTATAAAAGTAGCTCAATTATGTCAAGCATGTCTACTAAATAAACTGATTATCGAACATAAACCCATCCGAACCCGAAGTATTACTTAATAAGATTGTTCATATATTTTTAGGTGTGCATTAATTTCCCTCACTTTATTCCTTTTAGTCTCGGGGGGTTGGCTGGCCGAATCGGTAACACGTGCGTTCTGTATCATACGGCATGTCTATGAGACAACTGGCATGGTTTCGAATCCCCGGTTGTACGTGACATGGAGTAGGGTCACCTGTCCAACTTCGTGGGTTTTCCCCAGGTCCTCCGGTTTCCCCCCACTGCTAAAGACCCCTACGCGCAAGCGAATTATTGAAATAAAATTAAAACCATATGTTAGTCCCGAAATGACCTAGTTTGTGTCGAGTGGACGTTAAACCCCATTTCTCTCTCGCTCTCCTTTTAGTCTTGCTCTCGCTAGCCTCTTTTCTCTCTTTTGCATGGCGATTTCTTTTTGGTGTAGAATGAAAGAAAGGGGTTTGAATTTACATTTGCTGTCAGTTTTGGCATTGAATTAGGATACTTATACCTCATCTTTGCTCCATCTGTGATAGAAAGCGTTCAACCCAACGAAAATTTTGGGAAAAGTTACAGCCGGTCGAAGAGACTAGAATTAACATTAAAACCAGTTGAGAAATCAATGATTACCTGGGGCCACCTAGAAGCTTTTCTGAAAATAATACTCCGGATTAGTCCTTGTAATCATATTATAAAACTATTTCAGAAGTCCTGGCCAAGTCCGGTACCAGTTAAAGTTACACCAGGTGAACCAATAACCTTAACGTCTGGTTACAGTAACCAATCAGATTTTAACAATATACTCTTATCGCGTAGATCTACGTTTCTAACACATCTTGAATAATTCCATTGACTTCTCGAATTTAATTATTTTAACATATCATGTTCGCTCTAGTCAAGAAACCTAACCAAAAACACATTGAATGCAATTATCGTGAACTATTTACATTTCCGATTTAATTAATCTTCATGTTTAAACTTTTTGATGATTAAAATATATAAGATTATGTTACTGCATTACGAATATGCTGTTTTCTGTTTAACTAAGTAATTGGAGCTCAAGGGTCTTGTAGGTGTGCGCAATTTGAAAAAAATATGTCCATAAATGATGACAGTTTTTGCAGATATAAGCTACCATACAAAACGCTAACTTGTAACATTCAGTGATTGACTTAATACCTGCCTTTGGCAAGTTATCAGTTATTGTGATTGTATTCTGTGCGTGATTAATATAAATGTAGATGATCATGCCTCCCCGACAGGGCTCAAAGTAATGCTCTTAAATAGAAATGAAAGGTGAAAACGCCAAAGGCCTTCCACACGCATATGTGCAGGTAGTGTGTAATGTAGTAATGAAGTAGTAAAAGTTGTTGATTTTTTTTATATTTACTTACTAAGATACGAATGTTATATACAAACGTTTTTTTTAATGTCTGTACATGTTACTGTCACGTGCGTAGAAATTAATTAGCGTGGATGTGCGATTTATTCTTACGTCAACGCCCAAGTTTAATCATTTGGCGGGTATTTATCAATTCTTCATCTGTCTCAACATGCAAGCGATAGATCAGGCTAGCATCATGCAATATGTCCATGCTAATTAAAAACTAGAGTATTTAGGGCGTTAAGGAGTAGATTATAAAACTATAGCTTGATTAGTAACTATAAGATTTTATTTAACAGGCTAGACGGAACTTCATCACTTTTATATAACAATTTATATAACGAAATGAAATGAAATGAAATGGGGTTTAACGTCCTACTGTTCTGCTCCTAAACTGGGCTAATGAAGACGGGCATACGCCATACAGTGTGCTATGAGGGAAATTTTGCCCGGGCAGCGGCACTATCGCCTACTCTTATATATAATTCCAACTGCCAAGGGATCTTTTACGTGCATTCCAATGTATACACGGGACCTCGGTTTTTCGTCTCATCCGAAGGACAAGACAGCTTTCCTTGTCAGGCCCTCCGTCCTGCATCACTGACAAGGGGGAACCACGCCGGAAAATCTGGATGAACTTTCTCGGCCAATGCAGGGATCGAACACCCGACCTCCAGGCTAGAATTTATATAACACACTTATAAAAAAAATGGGTTTCATGCTTATGAAAAAGATTTGATTTATAAATCCATTCGTTTTATTTCATAAGTTAATTCGTATCCATAAATATAAAAAAAAATCTATGGTGGCCAGTTCGCAGAAGGCAAGGAATCATTACCTACTGCGTGTGTAAGGTCGCTACAGTGCCAATGTCAAATACAAATAATATTGTTTCTTATATAACGCATTATTAATTAGTGCTAATGGGTTTTGCCGGATTACTTATTCATTTATTATGCGTTTGAAAGGACTGTTAATTGGTTTTCGTGGATTAGTTAGTTAGTGGAGGTTAAAGTTTGCTTCCTAGTAAACCTATCAGACAGAAGAGTCAGTCGGGTTTGATCAAGACAGGAATTGGAGCGCGAAAATGGTACTTTTCACAGCCCTCATTCTTGTAGTTAAAGCACCACCGTGCCTTTGAGATACAATATGTAATGGAACATTTCATAACCATTCTCGCTGCCATTCAACGCGTATCTCCTGAGAGTGGATTTGCAATTTCTATCTCGTTATTTTCACTTTAACGGTTTATATCACCGTCGCGGTAAGCGTTGCTGATTCCATTTTATCTTTTTAAACGCCAACGCGTTAATGTGGTCGTACATTGGTGTTGTCCCTGTCCGTCCAGAGGTCTCTCCGTCTACATACATAATGTAGCTAGCATTTGGGTAAAGTAGTTCCGAAGAATAACCCTAAACGTATGGTATATAGCCTACTACAAAACAACAAGATGAAGTGTGTAAATCGTGGAAGACGAATCTGTTGCTAGACCTAGTCGTTCTTAAAGTCCACCCGTGTGCGCCATTTAAGCAAACTGCATTATTGTGAAAGATGAATTTCTAATAGCAATACCAGTCCAAATATGGTTCAATTCCGTTCAGTATTTACAAAGATACATGTGGAATTGAAATTGCATCGATCTGTGCTGCTTGGGCGTTACACGGCGACGACATCCTTTATCGGTAGCCGGGGAATCAAGCTGGGAAATTACCCAGTGTTGATATTTTGATTTTGTTTTCTTAAAAATGCATTATGTATGATTTAAAGGGCTGGTCGATCTTGCTATAATAATTTCTAAATAGATAATTCAAAATTAATATACTCTTCAAAAAATGTAGGGGATAGTCAGAAACAATACAAAACTGCGGAAATGCACTACTGTTTTTATTAGAGGTAACCAGTGTATGTTAATAACAGGCCAATTACCTACACATGAACATAAACAGTTCAAATGGGCGGCTTATCTGATGGCACCATTTCACTCGCAAAGAGATACACTGTCAAAAGTGAAAATGGACGTTTTTGATTTTTGTCTTAATAATGAGTAATTGCTCCACCAATCCTCAGACATTCAGCAATTCGTCGTGGCATGCTCCTAATCAACCGTCCAATCACGATTTGGTGCAATCTGACCCACTCCTCTTGCAGTGCCACGGCCAATTCTTGCAGCGTTGTCGGTTGACGTTGACGTCGACGAACAAGTCTCGCCGATCATGTCCCAGACATGCTCTATAGGGGAATGGTCAGGATTCATGGCCGGCCAAGGCACATGGACAATACGGTGACGCTGGAGGTAGTCATTCACGACAAGGGTGCGGTGGGCACGGGCATTATCATCTTGAAAGATGAAACGTCGACCTGCACGTTGAGCAAAGGGCAGAACTATCGGTGCCAGGATGTGGTCACGGTAGTACACATCAGTCTTCCTTGAACAATATGCAAGTCCGTTCTGCCAGTCATGGTGATTCCTCCCCACACCATAACAGACCCACGACCGAATCTGTCATGCTGTCTGACGTTAACGTTAGCATGACTCTTATTTACACACCTCCAAACGCGAGCACGCCTATCGGTGAAATCCAGAGTAAATCTGGACTAATCTGAGAACATTGCACGCGCCCATCGACAATTACCCCAATTTCTACGCTGCCTACACCATTGACGCCTGTTTGCCATATGCTGGCGAGTTAATAGTGGCACAACACGCTGCATGAGCCGATTTCTAATCGTTTGGGGAGTAACTCTAATTCCTGTAACTTGTTACAAGTTTACAGAAAGCAGATTGGCCGTTTGTCCTCGATTTCGCAGGTCCTGTGTACGAATGTATCGATGATGGGCTTGTGTAGTGGCTCTAGGACGACCTGAACGAGGTCGATCATCAAGATGGTATGTTTGTTGGTACCGGTTCCACAATCTGCTGATCACAGACTGTGACACATTAAACATGTTGGCTGTGTAGAACCCATTTGAAGTATGCAAACAGCACGAAGACGTCTCATTGCAAAATAAACGTAACACACTAAAGCAAAGATACGCTAAACAGTAAATTTTATGCAAGAACCGACAGGAAAGCAAACATGGATAGGATAAACCAGCACGCGGCAGTTTTCATCAACCCTTCCTTGAAGTGTCAAATTTGACAATGAACCCCTCCCACGTGTATGGCGCTATTGCATGTCGCACATGCAGCTCAGTGGTTCTGATCGGGCGATAAGTTCTTCATCTGTGAACATACTCTCAAAGCATGTCAAGTGTCCGTTACTATTTATCATATCACAACCTACATAGGTATTTGCATTTCAATATCCCCTACTTTTTTGGAAGTGTATATATTGAAAATTTCCTTCAAATTACTTTATTCTGAGCGACGTTATCACTGTTAGAAGTTTTGACATGATATAGTTTATTATCGTAGCAGCGTTACTTGTTAATCGAGACTCAGCCTCGCTTATTCATTTTTAAATTAAATCATTAAATCGTATTTCAATCCGTTTACATCTGTGCCATCCGATGTTTGATTATATGCTTGTTATGTAAAGCCAAAATAAAAAACTTCAATAGGCAGATTTAGCTCTTACACAATGCATCTTTAATAGTTAAATAATCAATCTGAGTACATATTTAGTGTGTTTTAAGCCGTGAGAAATTTGCTATTTAAACGTAAATGCATCGGGAAATTAAGCACAGGGACATGAATTATTATCTTGGTAGTCTAACTGTTATATATTTATAAAATGAGAAGGAAAAAGGGATGGAACCAGCTGCTATCTAAAATAGATTAAAAATCTTTTAATGCTAAGCATAGACCTGTCTCTGTCTTGCAAGTAAGCGTATACGATCATTTGAAGCTGTGAGCGCTACACGTACTTCCGAAAAAAAGAAACCACCGCAACACAGACTGACAGAAACTAGTTACAGTCAGTTTTTCGAACGCGCACTTCGACAGCAACGTAAGCCGAGCCTTCTATAGGCCCACAATATAAATACCCCCACCCCATTTACTGACAAAACGAGAAACTTGTTAAAAAGCGCCAGAATTTGACAATTTGTTGTATCCCCCCCCCACCGAAAAAAAATAATAAAATAAACAGGTTGCCATTATTAACGTTCTTTGCCGGGATACTTACCGGGCTTTTCTAATCTGAATGACATTTCTACAAATGTCGCGCTCTTCATTTGTCGATTTGACTTGACCTGGAATGAAACATGAGATAGTCAAGGTCATTCAGTCCACATTATTACAAACTTACAAGTTGCTTCCAGTAGCTGATAGTTTACTTGCAACTAGTTGTATCCGGCTGTAGACTAGGTGCATTAAGTCTTAACCAGGCACTGTTTCCAAGGTATCATGAAACTTGAATCCCCTCAACTCCACCGAAACTTTAAGCCTAGGCCATCTTTTTGTATAAATCACATATCGATGAACGAAACGTCGGTTCACCCATTCTCTAACTCAATGGTAGGCAAACTCAAAATTTTGAAACAAAGCGAGGGCCAAACAAGGATTATGAAATGTCAT